CCTAACTCTCTCACCTGTCTCATGCCTTACCCGTGGATCTTATAACCCTCCAAACCCCTATCTCTCTCACCTGTCTCATGCCTTATCTCCTCGCTGCATATCTCTTCTCTAAAGTCCTTCCTCATTATTGTATTTGCTACATGGAACTTACTATATTCTACTTGGACCCCAGTGTACCCTTCACATACTTGTATTAAAGTCTTTAGAATACTTTATTGTAATTCATTAAATGTCTGTGTTCTCTTATTAAACTGCAAGATCTAGAGGGTGGATGCTGGATGAATGGTAAGTACTCACTGGCTTGTGGAATGAATGAAAGAATGATGAGTGGGTAACCTCTGGCTGAGGAAAAAAGAAAAGGTTTTTTGGAGGTAGTATCTGAGCTGAGGTCTGAAGCAAAAACATAATCTTAATATATAAAAGGGGTAGAGAGAATTCTAAGCAGAGATAACAGAATGAACAACGATTCTTGGCCAACGAAAGTATGATGTGTGTGAAAGCGATGGCAGGCACTGCTGCATGACTGCCGAGCCGCAGGGATGAAGTGATAAGCTGGGCCAAAGAAGAGAAAGCCTTAAGGGGTTTAAAATCTATTCACACAGACAATGGGAAATCAGCATTTAAGGCAAGCGGGAGAGACCATTAGAGTTGGGCTTCAGCACATGTTTTCTTGGTGCAAAGACAGGCAAAAAGAGAACGATGCCAGCAGAATGCTCAATTAAGTTCCTCTAAGATTTCAGGCAAGAAACAGCATTCGTCAGAAGTATTCACGAGGGTATCTGAAGTGGGGTAACAGAAGTGGTAACACTACAGGAGGTGTGGCCTTGAGAGGGCAAGAAGGGCACTTCGAGTTTTTTTAAGATATCACGTTTGAGATACTGACACACTGAGATTTTGGTAGAAACATGAATTCCTGAATTTTGGGTTTAATTCCGCATTCATATCAAGACAACTGAATTACACACATTAAATATGTTTTGTGACTCTACCATATCTAGATTATGAAGATAAAGGAGACAGCTCAAGTAAAAAGTTGTTAACCTATACTAAACAGTAATTTTTAATTGTACAGTTCTCTTAAATACTCATGTGTTGATTTAGTCTTGCTTAATGGCAGATATCGTTCTGGATTATAAAAATATTCTAGGCTGGGTGGTGGCTCATGCCTGTAATCCCAGCTACTCAGGAGGCTGAGACAGGAGAATTGCTTGAACCCAGGAGGTGGAAGTTGCAGTGAGCCTCCAGCCTGGGCAATGTAGAACTTATCATTTTACAAAATCTTCCATATAATTTTATTTTTAACAGCTCTATTTAAAGTATTGTAATCTCCCACAACAGTCTCATTTTACAGATGAAAAATCCAAGGGTGAATTAAAAAATTAATGGTGGGACTTGAGTTGGAACTCAAGTCATTTGATTTTTTTCACGCAGGTCTTTTACCACATGCCACTGCTGACAGCTTCTTTACTTTTACCTACTTGGTCTTTTGGTTTGAATTTCTCCTGATGCTTAATACAGCTATTTATACATGATGATTAGTAGTAACACTAATTTCAAATCATTTCCATGATAACGGGATAACACTTGATTTAAGGTATCACCTGAATTCCAATCAGGAGACATGAGTGACTAGATACTAACAGGTCATCATAGAATGGAGAAAGTAATATGGGTAGTTTATTCCACTCAGAGATTGTTCTGTTATTTAGTGAACACAGTGGTAAGGTGGCTCAAATTTCATTAAGGGTGTCCACCTGACATGCTTTGTTTTCCTCTAAGCAAATCAAAAGAATAGAATCCACGTTCTTGCCAAAGAGTATATAACCTTAAATAGTATGCCATGTAGTGGGTTCTATCAAATTTGTGTTAGAAATTGAAATTTAGGGAAGACTCTGTAATGAATAAAGTCATCTTTACAACTTTGGATAATCTAAGTTCTATCCTTTAGTCAGACCACCAGAAGGCTGCATCTTGGGAGCACATTTGTTTATCCTGCTGACAAATCACCTTTCCAAAATGGTGCTTTTATACACGCTTTTGGATTTCATCAAACATCACTTAGGCATTTGCTATAAAATTGATGTTGAAGACACTGCTTGGTACATTACTCACAGATAGTCATATAAGATATTTCTACCATAATTCAATAGGAGACAACTTTCTCTTTTGTGAGAAACTATTAATAGTATATTTCCCCCTTAAAAGCAGCAACTAATTTGCTTACTATGTTTCCCTTTGTGCCATGAGATAAAGGAAGCAATAGCCAAGTGAGAACCTCAACACAGCAACTCTGCTGGTCGTAACAGGTATACATTTCCGTGCCCTTCCCATCCTGGTTCTGAATTTTACTTATATATCCATTTTAATTACAGATAAGTCATGTCTGTTGCTATAAATTATCTCAAATCTTTTTTGAAGAAAAGTGGATTGGGAATTACATAATAGGAGATTTATATAGGCTGAATTCTTAATTTCATGTTATTTTCCTTGGTATTTGTCAGATAACTATTGGTTGTTCTAAAGATATACTTAAAACAGACCTGTTACTCTAGTGGGGGAAAAATCAGTTGCAAAAATCTTTTGGTATAACAAGGGGAAAAAAAAATCACAAGTAAAATTTTATGCCTTTAATGTTAATAATTGGGTTTAAAAATGTGAATTCATATGGATCCATGAATAGCCTTGTAAGACTAAACAGCAATTACAAACAAGGCCACATCTCCTTCTTTTAATGAATACAAAACTATAATATCACTTGAAGGTGGTAGAGTTATTTGTGGCCCTGCCATTGTGAATAGGAGGATAAAATAGTCACCTATGTATATTATAACCCGGGTATTGTATTAAGAGCTAGGGTTTAAAACTCATCCATTAGAAAAGAAAATCCATTTTTACTTTGTTAAATAACTATACGTAATAGGTTGACTCATGGTTACGAAGCGGTGCACTTTTTGCAGCTAGTGAACATATCTGGGGTTATATTACTTAGACTTGGATATTCCACTGAATTATTAGTTTTTCTAAGACTCCAATGGAGAACTGAAAATACAGTCCCCTGAACATTTTCAGATCAAAAGATATCTCTTTATGCTCTTTGAGATATCTCTGGGATTTCAAATAAATGCTAGTTCCAGTGCTAAAGAAAAACTATCTCCTAAAAGGTAATATTTAATATTTATGAACCATTCTATGCATTTTACATGGTTTAATTTACTTAATCTTCATAAAAACTCTATGGGGTGGACACTACTGGTATATACAATTTTAAAGAGTCGTAACATTCCTAAGGCCACCACGGCACAAGGGGCAAAGCCTGGATCTGAAATAAAGCAGTCTAGCTCCAGCGCCCAAGCTTTTAAATATAGTACTATATTATACTGCCAGAGAAAATTCTAACTTGATCTGGAGGGTCCCTCACGGCCACCTCTGCACAAAGGTGGGGTGGCCTTCCACACAGTCAAAGACAGATTGTGAGGCCAATTGTGATTTTCAAAAGAATGCTAACTCTAACACCAGTTCCTCTGGTTTCTAAAATTAATGGATCTGCCTTCACATTTCATAGGCCAATTGTGATCAAAAATCAAACCAAAAAATTTTCTCAAGAGTTCTGCAGAATTCCCAATAAGATATAGCCTACTTTATTCTGTGAGAGATATACTTAAATGACACCAAAATATTCAATTATTATGACAAGATGATATTTTTAATGTTATTTCTAATCTGACTCATGAAAATGGCAGTAAACTCCCTCCAAATAAAATAAACTTGATTTTTATCATAGAACAATTTCTTTATTCCAGATTATAAATTTATACAGTAACCTGATGAACATAAGAAATGCCTCTAAGTTTTTTCCCTTTTTCAGATATCAAATAATCAAAACGAGATAATGATCCTAGCGATTTCCCTCAGTGTTTTTTTTACATTTTTAAAATAGTTTCTGTAAACCTCTGGAAGGAATAAAGTTATTTAAAAAACATTTAATATTTATCCAATACTGTGAATGATTTTAAGTACTACATTATTAACCCATGTTCTAGGAAAATGTGATTAGATAATAGTATTAAGAATTTGATACATATTCCTTCATGTCAGGTTTCATTTTCTAATAATATTAGTCAATCACTTGCTCAAAAAAATGTGTGCTTGATTGTGGGAGTTAGCTTTCCATTTATTGCTTTAAATTGTAGAAATAATTCCAATATCATTAGATATTGCAACACTGATAAGAATAAATACAAGTAAGCATTTCATGGTTTATGTTATCTCAGAAAACTTAGTTTGCATTACTTTTGACTCGTTTGTAAAAAAAAAAAAAAGTCTACTTTGTTGCTTTTATAAAAAATTGTTTTATATAATATGTTTAAAATAAGGCAAAGTAAAGGTCTGAATATACAAAAGCCTTTACAAAATCAGTGAAAACTGTTTAATTCAGATGCTTCTCAAACATTTTAAAAGCAACATAGAAACACTTAAATGAAACAAAGTTTATAAAGTAAAAATAAAATGGATTCTCTGTAACATTTCTAAGGGATTATGAGGTCATTAGCTATAAAGAAATGAACGTTGTCAATAAAGTAGAGAAAATACAAATATATTGTGATCTATATAGTTCTAAAGAGATATCAAAGCAAATAGGTTGATACCAGAAATGTTAAAAAGAAGACAGTGTTAACAGTCATTGTTGTCAGGGTGATAACCCAATTACAGATCAAGTTCAGTCACGTACAGGTAATAACAATAGGGCTCTTTGTGCATTACAGCTTTAGGTCACTAACAATTCTCAACAGAATAATAAAGACTAGTGCTATTGGTACTGTTCCTTTTTCACCCCCCTCTTAATCCCTCTGAGACCAATTATGTTATGTCAGTCTCCCGGATATACCCAATTTCCATCTACCCAAGGACACATTTTAGCACCCCAAAGTGGGTCTAATACATTAAAGTACACTATATTTTGGAGCTTTAGATATTTATACAAAATGATTAGGCGTATCTTACTGGTACACCAAAGTGTCACTAGTGATTGACTTGGGGGTAGAGGCAAAGGGAAAAGAAAGTAATCTTACACAGATATAAGGTAATGTAATGTCTCTATTTCACAGCTGAAGATCATTCAGTGTCTTTTGAAAACTGTGAAAGTCTTACAGAAAGTTACATGATTTTTATAGGATCCCATAGGACATGTGAAATATAGGACACCGTTTTGGATTCATGTCTTCAAGGAGCAAGTCCCCAATGTAACTTCAGAAGCACAGGTGAACAAAGGGCTTGCTTAACTATGTATTTTAAACAAAAATAGAAGATTCAAAGCTTAAAAGTCTAATCTTATATGGCAACTATCAGCAAGGTGGCCAACTGATGTTATGTTTTAAGTGATGAGAATATTAAATTTACTGAAACAATTTCTAGGAAAGAAAATCAAATGTTATTAATAGTGTTTGAGACAACACTGCTAATTTTAATAAATAATGGCACAATTATATATTACTGATTTTATTACATATATATCTACATTTTAAAGTAAAACATTCTTATTTCAGGATTTGATTACATGGTTGCAGAGACTGCAGAAATGTTTGTTCAGAATTACCTTCCGACATTGTGCCATATAAAATAATGTCCTTCTTTTAAATAATTTTAGGACAATGTGTTACAAAAAAATCCTCTAACACCAATTTAAACGACTTTGGTTAATTTACAGTAACAACTCCAGAAAACTTACATAGATCTATTAAAATTTGTAAGTCTAGCAATTACAAACTAAAAATATTTGGACTGCTCAAATGAATAAAAAAGTTTTATAAACTTAATTTAACTTCAAAAATGTAAAAATAATCTCTACCTGACACTTTCATCTTTTTTTCTATTTACATAAAGCAGTTCTTTCGTGAACCAAAGCAAAGGTCATAGTTTTTGTTACTGACTTAACTCCCTTAAAAATCTTCTTTAAACATATTCTAAATTAAAAATAAACAAAAATTATTTATAAATATTCTTTTTGAAACCCAGTTATAATTTTTAAAGCTTTCATTTAGTGTTTTCCTTTCCTTAATAGTAGCCATTTGAAAATAAAGTATTAGTAAAATGATGACAAACCATAACTTTTTTTGTTCAATATATTATGGATCAACATATTTGCTATGTTGAGATACATGCTTGGTCTTTCATACTCAGATAGGTAGCAGTAACTCCTACCCTTCTGTAGCTTCCTTGTACTTTCCTTTCAATGTTACATTGTCCCTGAGTTTTCATGAGTCAGAAGAGTGTTCTAAGCAAATGCCTCATTGTGACTCTGCCCTCTCACCTGCTATGCCTCTAGAGAAGGAGATTCCAGATAAATATGGTGAGTGAAAGGGTTAAGAACAGAGAGGAGAAAAATAAAGAATTAGTAAGTCTAAGAGTAGAAATCATGAAATGCTCATTCATAAAACACCTGAGAATTTACTCTGGGCTCTGTGTTCTTATAACACAAATGGCGATGCCATGCCATATGGGTACCACTGTGATGTCCAGTATTTGCTCTAAACATTGTCTAGGTCTCTACTTACACATAGAGAAATGGGAATGATGCAGTTACCCTTCTTTAACAGGAAAATTGACAACTGGATTAAATAAAACGTGATTTCAAAAGGTGAAAAAAATTCAGTATTATAATTTTATTCAAAGCCACATAAACATATTATATTCTCCAATAACCTATAAATATCTGAAATCAGTTTATTTCCATTAAAAATTTACTATTGTTATTCATACAAAATCAACCATAGAAAAAATCTTAACTTTTTAATCCCTGTGTTGATTTTAAATACACCATAAAATCAAGACCTCTCTTGTTTCAACAACAGTGGAGATGATGTCAGCAATTTGTAAACATTTGAGTGCAGCAGCAGGAAAGATATTACCAGGCTGCACTGCTAAACTATTTCAGGAGAGGCCAGAAAGAACCCTCCCCTCCTGCCTATGTTTCTCTAACTTAAAAAAAAAAAAAAAAAAGGAGAGGGACACTGTCCACCTGAAAGAGGAAGACAAAAATAACAGAAAACAGGTAAAACCAAAATATATTCATTAGCATTTATGAGGTGAACATTTATGGTTCATTCATTCTCTATTAGTTCTTTGATTGAATGTGACCTTTCAGGTTGATACTTTATGGTATAATTTTTTTGAGTAGTCTCATTACTTGATTTTTTTAAAATAACCAAGTTTTCTGTCTGTGGGCTGGAGGTATAACGTCATACAATGAACACAAATTTAATGTAAAACAAAAGAGACATTACGTAATGTGAAAACTAATCACTGGATTAAAAATTCTGATTCCAAAATCACATTTTGCTGGTTTCTTAACCTATAAAAAGCATTAATGAGACTTACTAAACTAGTAAGTTTTTGAAAATATAATCAGAATATAATCACAATAACCACAAATACTGAAATATTGTATCCTTCATCAGTCTTTCTTATAATACATTTAAAACTACTACTAAATAGATAAACATCTGCCATAGCAAGCAGATGTTTATCTATTTAGTAGTAGTAGTGCAGATCAGCAAGTGTTGTTGTAATAATGGTCTACTTTATTAAAAACGTTTTAACCATCTTTCCAATGTTTGACAGGTGCTTAAATTTCTTTTTTACTCAAAGCACTGTCTTTAGTCTTCAATTTATCTCTACCCAATTTTCTTGAACCAAGGGCACGCTTTATACTTCTTTCTCATTTCCATTTCTTAAACTTTCACCTGTAAACCCTGTACTCAACTTACAGAACTTGCTTCCAAAGCTATCTCCTCAAACCTAACATGAAATCTGTTAAAAGCAACCACTGAGGCACCACTGTGTCAACTTTTCTTATGCTTTCTGTATTCAAACTAGAAATTTTTAATAACAAAGTATTGAATGAAACAAAGTATATATTTTGTTTGATATTAACGCTGACATTTTTAACAGCATCAGTTAAACTTCTAAATAATTAACAATATAGCTATTTACTATTGTTTTTTACTTAGAATTCATAAGATAAGCTAGTGAACAAATGCATAATTTTGGTGACTACTCCAATGTCTCTCAAAGAAATTAAATACTGAAACTGAAGGAAAACAGTCTATTTATCTTATTTCCCAGTAAATGCGCACTTGGCATTACAGAGATAATGATGCTTATATAAAATAGGAAGTAATATCAATCAAAGAAAACTATCACATCCTCTGGCCTATCTTGCAAGTAATTTTCTGCCTTACTCTAGAGAGAGTTCTTTGGAGAAGTTTCTCTCGCTCATTCAATTCTCATTTATTGGTTCATCCATTCTTTTAAAAAATTTATTCCTTTAACTCAGATTCCCACCCTCACTCCCTCAATCAATCAATCAATTGATTACTAAGCCTTTAAAAATGTGTTGGCCCCAGGCCCTAGAGATATACAGATAAGTAGCAGAGTTACTGATCCTCAATGGCGGGAGCTTGACAGCCTGCAGGGGAGGCATCCGTGCAAGGAAGCTACTACAACATGGTGTAACTGCCAAGGGAGGAGGCAACAGGAAGAGAAGAAAGGAGGTCAGGGAAAACCACACAGGAAAACTTTATGTACAAGTTATATTTGAAAGGAAAAGAATGAGTTTGTTTGGTAAAGAACAGGGAAAGAGGTATTTCCGAAAGAGGAAACATCATCTATAAAAACATGAAAATTCATGGAACTTCTAGTGGAACATGCATTGATAGAGTTAGAAAAATTAGAAAAGAATATCTGATGATCAACAATCCTTGAGAGATGAGCCCAGGTCCGTTTATGAGGCTTTTGAGTCACAATTCCTTATACATAAGTAAATGTTTGCTTCACTGTCACCAACAATACCAAGTTTCACTTAAACTGAGAGATATTCAAGGAAAGATATCTTTTCAACCCAGGACCCTTGCTTAAATATAGTAACTGTCCATTAATACATGAATGAGATCATTACTAGAAAAAGGAAAAAATACAAAACACCAAAAGAAATCAGAAAGAAAAATATTTAAATAAGCCACAAAATATAGATTCCCTAATATCATTCATGTGTAGATGAAATACTTCAATCTGGAACCCCAATCATTTGTACACACTAAGTCTAGCATAATTCAAAAGAAAAGATTTGACGTACAGGCTTATTTTTCTAAAACTACTTCTCATTTTTTGTTTTAATGCTTACCTGTTATACATGTTTTAGAATATAATATAGGGAAAAAAAAAAATCTGAACTTTGAAACTCCGAGTTCTTCTAAATAGAATGACTATGTCTAGAAATAATTTGTGTAGGGTTCCTTAGAATTCCTATCAACTGAGGCCGATTGGCACGTATAGCTAGTACTCTCACAAAATGTTCCCTTAAAATCTTGTTTGGGCAGTGGCCTTAAAAATTTGGCAGTAGCTAAGTAAATTTGGTAAGCTTGCAAATACATATTTGGTAAATTGATTTGCTTAAAATTTTTTAGTTTTCAAATAGTTACACAGTTTGTTACCATTTTACCTATAAAATTAACAAAATAAACTGTCTTTTCATTAAAAGTTCACTGTTGAAAAACTCTGTACTTCACTTTTTATTGGTTCCTGTATTTTGCCATACTAACAAATTAAACAGTAATTTGAATTTTTAAAAGATCTAAATTATCAAAAATATTTAAGACATTATTATACTTCCAAATTTGGGATTTTTGGCTACCATGAACTCTGAATAATTATTTTACAAAGAAATTTGAGTTGCTACTTAAGAAAATATTTATTTATCTGCCTTTCAAAGCTCTTATTTTGAGAACTCTTCTACATAACTAAACAGATTAAAGTAACATTGTTATACAGTCTGCATATTTTTATATTCATTTTCTTAGTAAGAATTATTTTCCACATTTACCTAGAAATTACAGCTTTCTATTTCATCAGGGAATGACAACAAATTTTACCAATATGAGCAATCACACTTTTTTGGAAAGTACACCATATAATGTGTTTTGCTTTATAGCTCTTTTCGAAACTGGAAACTATACGAGGGAAGTAAAAAGTGGAATCCATTTTCCTTTCCCAACTCTAAGACCTTCTATCTGGGCCAGACTTTGATATTTGCCCCTTGGCTGAGGATCCGCGTATCCAACTTCACACTTAGCTGCAGTGAAGTAGCCCTGCAGGCAGGCCGACTTCAACGAACCACTAGTGGTAGCATCATTAAAATCCTGCTGAAGGTCACCATGGTAACCGCCTGCTGAGGCTTCGCTGCTGCACTCGGCATCTCCTAATCAGCTACCATGTGAAATGCAAATGCAGACAGTCTGAAAATTAGTCAAGAAGAATAGGGGATGAGGATGCAGATATGTGAAATATTCATGCGCTTCATGGAAAAAAGAAGACAGCATGAATGACACAACAAAGAAAGGCCCCTGACATTCTTGCTATCATTTTGCATTATTGTTCACACCCTACTGTATTTCCAGGCCTACGGTTCTGAAGTTGGTTTTGTGAAATGCCATATTTATAGTCTATACCCAAAATAGTAATTAAAAATGGCTAACATAATAGTATTAACATCAAATAAAGATAATACTTTTAAATTATCATCACTGCTGTGTAAGAGTTTATTCTAATTACCTGAATACAAATGCTATGGAGCAAAAAACAGGCATCACTGATTATCAGTATCAAAACTGCCAGAAGAAAAAGTGCCTATTATATTCTAGGAACACAAACGCTTTACATGTGGTGACAATTCTTTAGAGATATTTATTATTCAAGTTACACGAACTCAAATTTCCTTACATAATACTAAGACCCAATGCTATTCATTTCACAATAGAAAGACTGACATGATTACCTAATAAGAGAACATTATAATTGTTTTATATTTTTCCTTTTCTCCTTTCCATTTTCCTGGGGCAAAAAATCTGTTGCTCATGAGACGGTGGGATGTCCTAACTCAAGACACTATTTTCTCTGGGCAGGTCCCCGATGAGTATTCCACAAAGAGCTTACATGAAACATTTTAGCTGACCTGAGATACTGCTATTCTGCATACCTCCTCCTTAACTATTGGTAAAATCATGATGTATTAGGCTAAAATGGGAGACGTTCTGTTCCATGAAAGAATGGACACTGGGTAGAGCCGAAACAACTCATTTCAATGGGTTACTAAAGCAAGCAAGCATTCAGACTCAGATCTTAATAAGGTAGCCTTCTAAGATTTTCAGCCACAGCTAACACACTTTTTAAACACGTCTACAATGATAACCTCAAAATATTTCCCTAGTGGAATCTGAGTATAGCAGTGAGGTGATGACAGGACAGGTATTGTCAAAGGAGGGAAGGTAAAGCTTAAAGAATAAGGTTCAGAGATACGTAGTTAAGAGATGCACGTTTCGAGTTTTGGAAAACATGGATGAATGGGAAGTTCTGCCAAAATAGCAAGTTACAACTGTGTGTGGGTCTGGAACTGTGAAAATAAGGAGTTAGCCCTGTTAAGAGGGGCCATCGAACATGATGATTAACTAGAGCCTAGGTATGAGCATTAGTTCTGCCCTTTGCATCGTTCAGTACACTGCAGAGTCAGCTACTATTCTTATCACACCTAGAAAGTGGCCAATTTTACACCACACGCTGGGTTGTGTTCCACTACACATTATGAAGTGCGGTCGACTCTTCAGACAGCAAGTCTCCAGGTGAATGAAAACAGAATAAAAAGTACTAGTTCTGCCACCTATGCCGTTCATTTGCATTTCCAGATAAAGTAAAATTTCTTAATAAAATAAAAATGTTAGCAAAATGAACAACGGACAAACACGTGGACTGGAAAAGACTTACTTCTTCTGAATAGTGATCTGAAGGAAGAGGTGGGTAGTCACACTGTTCTATCTTCTTACACAGCGAGTATAAATTCATTTTGTCCCCATAGAAAGGACTCTGTAATGCAGCCATCTGTAAAATGTCCCCAATGAAACTGATATAGTTACATGGTAACTTAAAAGGTGATTTCGTCAAGTATATTATACTGGGGTAGAAAATAATTACAAATATTTCAAATAAAGTTATCTGGGCATTTTGATTTTTATGAATATCCCTTTCTGGGGATATTCGTTAAGAGTTAAAAATCTTACTGCAACTTTTGGGGGTTTTTTCAACATTTAAAATTCCCTAAAATAGAGAAATAGCACATTTCTTTACATACAAATCAACATAAAACATTAAGAAAATAACACGTAATTTTAAAACTCTTTGTACCTGTAATGACATAAAAACAACTGGTATAGCTCATGACAAAATCACCATTACACCGTATAGCTCAACCAAATAAAACAAACATGAAACTGAAGTTAAAACTGAATTGAAATCTCGCTTAGGGAAGAGGATGCAGAGCATTTTCTCTTGTATATTAGTTTCTGAATAAAGGTTATTCTGAGAAGAAAACAAAGTCTTCTCAATATAAATATAATAACTGATCCCCAAATAGTTTACAATTAATTAGAACTCTTTTCTTTTGACAATGTCTCAAAAACATTAAATATGTTCAAAAGCTCTACGAATCATAGCTGTAATTCAAGGCTTCCAAACGAGATTTTTATGCAGAAAAACATGACTCGAAGGATGAGCAACTTTAAAAAAGACATTATTGAATTTAAATGTATTTTAAGACAAGGTTCTAACTTGACATTTAAAGTGCAAGCGAGTCCTGTGGTAAGCAGGGTTACAAACTAAAAATTCAATTTAAAATGTTCGCATCCTGTTCAAAACCTTCTAAATCTTTGAACCGCGGCAGCAAGAATACAACACGGAGTGCCAGGCTGCCCCAAAGTCAGTCACCCTTTTCTACACGTGCTAATAAGTTTGATTTTGGAAGGACAATGTGTACATTCCCCAGACAGGCAGAGTGTGTGTGAAACACGCTGGGCCCTGCTGTGCTACTGAGTGAGCGTCAGTGGGGACAGGACAAGCTGAAAACGGCTCTCATCTGTCTTCTGTGCTCCAGACAGTGCTTTAACTCCTTCAGAGCCTTGATGAGATGGGGATGGGTTTGGAAATCAAAACCGGAAAGTAGCTCAACACATTTTTTTATCTTGCCTATGCTTTGTATAAACGTGCACACACCTATAAAGCAGTACCTTAGGAAGAGTTGTTTCACATGAAGAGAAAAAAATTACAAACAATTTGAATGCCACTAATCATATAAAATGCTCTGAGAGGAAATTTCCAAAAGAACTGCAATAATAACAATAATAATTTTTGTTTTAAATGCAAAAACACTTTATGATAAATGTTACCTTAAAGATACACCGTATATATAAACTATAGTTTCTCTGTGTTTGCAAAACCTTAGGTAAATGTACATACATTCATTATCATATGCTAGGCATTCATTACAATCCTTTTTCTCAGTGCTGCAGAGTGTTAATAAAAATCTCAATGTCCCCTAAGGAGTTAAACAGGAATAGTATATTTTCATGCATCTCCTGCTTTGACAGATGAAAAATGTCAACTGTCCTGTTTTTATTTTCAAGCTTTTGCACTATTCATCTGGTTCATTAGTGCATCTCGATGCCGCCCCTGACAGCTGCTCGCCCTCTCCTCCCAGCAGCTGAATTTTTCAGGCTAATTTGATCCTCCACACTGAGACGATCGCTAGGATGATTGACTTACTCCCTGACCTCCAGGGTCTGACTTTCCTGATTAGTATTCTGGGGGTGTCGGAGGGACGAAAGCCCACTGTCTGTCTTCGGGGCTGGTGGCAGCTCTCTTTTTTTTTGAACTGTAAGCCACCAACCTACAACCCTGTAAGGATGCAATTGCTGCGCTGAACAATAAAGGAAATGTGTAAAACCTACTTTTCCATGTAAAGGTCCATGTAGCAAAAGCACAGCATCTTGATTTTAATTAGTAAAGTCTACTTTGTTGCATATCAATTAAAATTGTACTGCTAGTTTTTTTTTTTTTTTTTTTGAGGTTTCAGGAATATTTGAAAGTCTAATTTTCTGAGTTTAAACTACATTTTCAAAAAAGGCTTCCTATGTCTTCATTGTTAATAGTAACTTTTTAGTGGGATACAATATAAAATATCTGCGTGATGTTACGACCAATATTTTAAAGCCAAACTGTTAGATATTTCTATTAACATTACATTGAAACATAACTGAAAAGAGATAGAACATAAAGTTACATTAAATCTTTAGAAAAATTCTAGTTCTTCTAAAAGGCTGGCATGGAGAAATCAAGAAAATGCATTGGTATGAAAACTCATGTTAGCATGATAGATACTTAACTCAAAATCATCCACAATACACATAACTCATGGATGCAGGAATGTCCAAAGACGTAATTTTTATTTCCATGGCATTTTAAATTCACATAAAAATGGGACACTGTCTCTCAAAGGCAAATTCAAAATGTGATAAATTATTTCAGTTTTGACATGAGTCTGCTAGACCTAAAAGAATTATGCAAACGCCCTCTCAAAAACCACTTATTATCTCAACAGAACTTTTTCTTTTTTATTGCTAAATTTAAACTAGTTATAGGAAACCAATTTGCTATTTACTTTTAGGGATTTAAAGAGAAAATGTTGCTTTGATAATATTAGACTATGGCCTACAGGAATCTAAGGTTAACAGGTATAAAATATTTTAAATGTACAGAGTGACTAACTTTTAAACATTATAGTAACAATATAATCAAACCAGCTTTTTCTAGCATTGTAACAAATTATTAACAAAACAGAACACAGTGAGCATAATCTCTTGTAATCTCATGTGCACACATAAAAACATGTTTTGTTACATGACTCATAATTCTTCACAATAAAAATAATCCAAAGTATGAGCTTATTTAAGAATATTTAAAAATCTTTTCATTTTAAGTAGCTGTTAATCACTTTGGTAAAAAGGACAAAATAAATAATTTCCGGTTTCTCAAGGAAATTTGAATCTGCAATCAAAATAATAAAAGAACATGACATGCATTCTTAAAAAGTCAAACAACACCTCCTAATGCTCTACTTCCAATTAAAAGAGATGACTTCACCATATATTTCAATTAAGTCAGGAGGACAAGAGACACAAAATATAATAGTAAGAAATGCATTGGCATCTGTCCATCCTCTTTAGACTTCTGTTATGTACACAGAGATACGAAAATGATTTCCACACAGGGATATGAAAATGCTTCCATGTATTATATTTCCTCACTTTATTAAAACCTACTTAGATATAGACTAATTTTTAATTAACAGCTTTGACTCAAAGCCTATATTTGAAGCCTAAATTCCTAGGAAAATTATCATTCAATTAAAACAAATTTACGGAAGTCACTAGCTTGAGATACTTTTATACCACTGCTCTATAACATAGATGTAAAATGTGTTGCTAATATCCTTTCTTCTATACATCCAAATTACTACAGTCCAACATTTCTAAAGGACCTACCTACATGGTTCCATCTTCCTTTGATAAATGATCACCAGTGGGAACAAAAGAGAGAGGATTTCACTGAGCTTTACCAACACAAATTGTTACTCATGGAAATTAAATTGATAACCTAGAAGAACTATCTGTTTGCATACTATCCTTAATGCTAAATTACACCTGTGTAAAAGTGAAATACTATTTTGATAAAGATATTTACTATACTTTCATATGTATTAAATCCAATCCATTATACCTCTGCTATAATTCATGGATCAAGGTTTACAGATGTTCAAATGTGTATTTTTACAAATGCAAGATATACAAAAAAAGCATTATATAAACATAAAAGTTAATGTTTTAAAAATAAACTTCTCATCAAAAGAACACAATTTAAAAATATATTAGATATATAAGAATGTATAGTTATTAAATTCCATTATACAAAGTTACTAACCCAACGAATAATTCTTCATAATTAAAAAGCTGATTCTTAAACATTCAGAAAAAAATAAGTACATACTATAACGACAGAGGAAATACAGTAAGTAAAACTGCATCAGTATTTCGCATTTATCAACATTACCTACCTCATATAGTAGACAGCCAAGAGACCAGATGTCAGATTTGAAGTTGTATCCATTTTCATGTATTCGCTCTGGAGACATGTAATAAGGTGTACCAACTGCAAAAAAACCAAACCAAAAAAAATAAGAGGTGTATAAAAATAAAGACACGGCTGTGGTAAGAAATTACACACAAAATTTCGAATTTAAAAGCATCACCAAGTTAATTCATTAGGATCAGAAAACTCTTTTTTGAGCATATTAAAAAGTTTTTAATTTCTTCTTTACTCCCTGACCTTTAAATAGTACATTAACATCTGTACTAAACAATGTGGTGGGTTAAACTTTTATGACCTTTTGATCAATCCAAGAAAAATTTAGAAAGCATACCTAAGGGGAAAAAAGTAATTTTGACAAGAATACCTACTTAAATAATTCACATTGGCTTTATTTAAAAAAAATATATGGATTGCATAACCCAAATAATTAAGATAATTTATTTTAAAATAAATAGCATTACATAACAATTTAATAGAGTATGCATAAATAAATCATATTTGTTAACTCTCACAGAAACATCCCGTAGAACACAGTGTGGCTCTTGACAAATGATGTAACACTTGGTGCCTTACTTCCACTTTAGAAAGAACGCCACAGACTTTTATATATCAAAGGGTTACATAATAACAAATGTGAAAGGGCACTGGCATCTCTGGAAAAATGTCTTGAGTTACTGTTACTACTGAGACCTTTTTGGAGACAAGACACTCAAGATAATTTTTGTTTTTGTTTGCTTGCTTTGATGTGCTAATACTTTTTTTGTGTGTGACTGTTTTAGAAA